GAGAGGAAAAACAACTTCTCAAAGAGAACTAATTATTTTGTATATCGAGCAAATAGCTGTGTTACTGCCCACCTTATGATGATTGTGTGCGTACAGCGTGGGTCACGCCTTTAGAGCCATTCAAAGCCAAAGCTCAACTCAATTTGAATGCCAAGGCAATGCTTTCAATAAGTGTAGCATAATTATTGCAAATTAATGGCCTTCCTTTCAGTTAGGCTAGGAACTAAGGCTTACCACGGAGAAGAATCAGAGCATTCGCATGCGAGGGCTGTTCGGCAAGTTATTGGGTTTGCTGTGAGAGCTAATAGAGCTGAGGTAGCTTAAAAGGCATTTCATATGGTGTATAAGGGATATATATCGATAGCATGTGTGCGAGATGTGCTCAAAGAGTACTGGGTTTACATATAATAAACAGCATGAAGCATTTATGGCTCGTCTTCAAAGATATCAAACCAATTTGATAGATCCTGACAAATATGTGAGATATATGTGAGATATACTTCAAAAGTCTTGCAAATGCTGAGCTGTTGAGGGCTGCCTATATTGTTTTTAAAGATTTCTTTGCTGCACATCATATACCAGAGAATCGAACTAGTCTGAATGACCAGATAAGTCCTGACAACTGTTTTGCTAAGAGACCAATCTCTTCAAGGTTGGAGCAAGGAATTTATAGCAAAGTTTTGGATAAAGAGAAGATACTAATGCGGAGAGTGATCTCGCTCTTTGTGACTTCTTCATTTTCATGCGGAATAACTGAGGAGGTCCTTGGAAGGACAAGGCTGAACAACAGTTAAGGGCAACCCTTGCTATTGGGACTTACTCAGAAAAAAAATAGATAAATCATGAGAATATACATAAATTTAAATCAATATAAAAAGCAATGCAACATCTTCAATGCAACACTTCATATTCAGCTCTCTGAAGCCTGAGCCTAACCTGCGCATTCTCAATGATTTGCCTGCATAACAAAAAGACTTTTTTCTTGTAAAATATTTTTGATAGCATTTCATTCGTAATATATCTTGAATTAAAGGAAAAGAGAGAAAGCTCAGCTCTCAATGTGTGTTTCTGAAGGCCAATTAAATTGCTTGCATAACGCCGCAATCTATGCAGCAGCAGAGCCAAAGCAAAACCCTTGGGCAGTTGCAGCTATGTAGAGCCGTAGCCACAAGTCAAATGCAACTGTTGTTGAGCCGTTGCAATTGCATAACATTTGACTATTTCATATTAGCCTCAAATGCGAAAAAGAAAAAAGTATTGTCCGGAGAACTGAAGGAAATGCCAAACTGCGTCGGGCTGCGTGGGTGTGTGTGCAGGTGTGTGTGAGTGTGTGTGACAGGCGAAATCTCAGTAGATGTTGAGTACATGCACATATATCTAGCTATTTATATATATATATGTACTCTATATATATATGGCTGTAAACAAAAGTTGAGCAATTTCGAATCAAATTTGTCTTAATTTGCCAATCAGCTGCAAAATATATTTGCTCAGCGATAAGGCGAGTGTGAGTGGAAGAGCGCTAGAGAAAGAGAGAGATAGAGAGAGAGAGGGAGGGAGAGAGGGTTGCAATTGCATAACAGTAATTGACACTGTGTGTAAATGCAAATCCTTTAAGTGGTCGCTGGAGTGGTGGGCACTTGAAATAAGTGCAGGGTGTCTCGACACGACACGACACGACACGACACGACTCGACACGTAGCGCCTTAGCCTCAGCTGGCAGTTGGCCGTTGCCATTTGGCCGCTGGCTGTTGGCTGTTGGCTGAGCGTCGCACAGTCACGTCGAAAAGTAGACACACCTCTGGCAGTGCTATATTTAGATGATGGCATATTGTTTAAAGCTAAAAACTTTATCTCAAATCTTATCGATGCACGAATACAATTGTGTCGCCCCACTTATCAAGCAATTCAAATCTCAATGCGTGCGGGACAGGCGGGGGGAAGAGTTCAAGTGAGAGTGAGTGTGAGGTAGGGTCAAACGGCAGGTGGGTGAGTGAGTGCGTGTGCTGCACAGCCAGAATGTCGCCTATTAATTAGTGTATACGTCAATCAGAGATATTTTCGATACACGCATTAACAATGTACGAAACTGGTGTGTGCTCGTATCGCCGGAGCAATCGAGACTTGCGAGACTTAAGTCGCTGCTGTTTTATTTTATTTTTTGCTTTATTATTATTATTCAGTTGTTGTTGTTGTCGTTGTACTTGTTGTTGTTGTTGTTGGTGTTGTCCATAGCCTATCGGTGTATCAACGGCGTCCGTGGGTGCGCTATTATCTTATCGGCCCTGCCTAAGACCCGCCGCGTAAATGCTTTAAACAGCTTTAGCAGCGTCAGCGCGACGATTATGAAACGTGTCGCATTGCTCCGGGCGTGATTAGTTTTAGCCCAAAAGGCAGCTGGCCATAAAAGAAAAGCAATGCCATGCAAATAGCAAATAGCATTTAGCAACTGGTAAATGCAGTCGCACAGCTGCTGGACGAACTTATCTGTGTGGCACTGTTTGAGCTCCAAGGCAATTGGGCGACAATTATCTGCCCCATCAACGGCATTATCATCAGCAAGCGACAGAAGAAGCTGCACCAATTGCATTTCCACACATGCTGTGCGTGTGTGGGTGTGCGTGTGTGGTGTGTGTGTGTGTGTGTGTGTGTGTGTGCGAGTCACTCAAGTGGCGCTTTAGCTTGACGTCTGAGAGCAACTGAGTGTTTGCGGGTATCGCAGACAAATGCCATTCGAGTGCCAGACATGTGCATGTGTGTGTGTTTATGTGTGTGTGTGGGTGTCTGTTTCTGTGTGTGTGTGTGTGTCGCCCTGAAAGTGCACACATGCTCCATTAATTGCATCTAATTAGTTGAAATCAAAGCAATTAATCTTTTTAAATGATTTATTGATTCATATACACACACACACACATAGACACACACTTATCTGTCGCTCAACAGCCACGAAGCTAATGCTCGGTCATCCCCTATTAAATACACAACTTTTCAGCCAAGCTGCCCTCAAACAAAAGCTCATTGAATTACTTGCAATCGCTGCACTTGAGGCAATTCAAACAGCGACAGCTTAACTTTAACAGCCTGCTAATGCCGTAACAAATCTCTGGCTCCCGGCGTGAAAAGTTAGTCGAGCAATTAAGATGTTAACCAGAGCTGACGGCGCATTGCACAAATGTTGTATAAGCAATTCCAAATCTAATGTCGAGCAGCTTGCAAAATAAATGTAATTTATTTAATAATTGAATGGCAATTCAAGGATTTAATGTTTGCTTTGAGCTGCTTAGACACAACCTGAATGAGCATTTTCAATTGATGCGTGATGCGCATCAAAATGTTATACAGCCATACATACACTCTCCCCATATATATATACATATTTGTATACATTTATTTGCGTTTGTATTGATGTCCTACCGACATCTGGAAATTGACAGGCTAACTAGGAGCTTTATTAAATCTCGACACACGCTGTCAACCTGTCGCCGCGGCGTCGCCAACTTAACGGCAATTCTTAAATATCTTTATTTCTCTTCTCTGCTCCGTTCATGCTCATTCACGAATGTGCAAGGAGTATATGGGTTTTGTTGCCGGACAATGCGGCCGTCCGTCTCTCCATATCTCTACTCTAACCTCGAATTATAAAATATATTCTAGATATTTTCGCTACGCCCACTAAGGGCGTGGTACATGCATTTTCCGGCATTTCAAAAACCCTCACAGGTAAACAGCTAGAGAGTTGGAATATGGAACATGCGCCTGCCAAAGATATGGCGGATACACATATATACAATCATGAGGGGGCGTGGCTAATCGGTTGTATAGTTTTTAAATTAGAAGCTAAAAATTCTAAAAAATAGCTGTCGATATCTTCTATAGACTTGCACAACAATATATGCAGGTACATCAAAAAGGGGCATGACGCAATGGAAAATGATTCTGTTAGATGAGCACTATGCAGTCGTTAACACCCGATTCTTGCTTGCATTATTATTTTTTTTGCTTTTCTGTTATGTTTCATCGACAAGCGAGAAAATTGAATTGAACTTTTGTCGAGCCTGTTGTGTGCTTTAAATGCCCCAGCAATTACGTGCCGAGCATTTGGCCATAAATCTATACTTTCAACTAGATCCCACACTGATTTGCATTCGCTGACCGACAATGGTGCGCAAATATAAATCATATGTGAATTATTTAGCAAATCGTCAGCTCGTCACTGTCAACATTTGTTGGGCTAAGTAAACGCATTTGGCTTTTAATTTGTTGAACTGCCAAACGAATTGAATTAAGTGTAGCCAAAAAAAAAAAAAAAAAAAAAAAAAAAAAGGAAAAAAAGTAAATAGTAAATGCAAACATACACAGCACAAATGTTTGCTGCTGCGGCGCACGCGGCGTATGCGCAACGTGCCCGACTTTGAGTCTCTTTGAGTTTTATCTTTGATTTAATTCAGTTTGTGTTCGCATTTAGAGTTTGAGTTTGAGTTTGAGTTTCAGTTGCAATTTGTAGTTTCGTACTTAATTTGAAACTAATTAAAAAATTCTCTGTTATTTTTTCATGTAGTATTTAATTTTTTTGTATTTTTTTTTTTTTTTTTTTAACTTCTGTTCCGCTGCTGTAAAATTTACCTTTTTCTTCCTCTGGTTGTGCGTGCTGCGGCTGCTGCTCTTCGACTTTGACTTCTTCCTCTTCTTGTTGGATGCTGTTGATTTGATTTAAATGTTTTTGTTGTTGTTGTTGTTGTTGTTCTTTTATTTTCTCTGTTTGGTATTTTTGGTTGTTATATTATATTTTTTTATTTGCTTGTTATGTTTGTTGGTGGGTCGAGTTGCGTGTACGTTGGGCGTTTGCCCCCACTTGACTAACGGCAAAATTTGTTTCGTTTTTAATTGCTTTTGCTTATGTTTTTGTTTTTTATTTTTTTGTTTCGCTCTTTTCTTTTTTTTTTTTTTTTTTTTTTTTACATACGCGTGTGTTTATTTATTACAGATTTATTTTGTTTTTATTTTCGGTATATTTCTGTGGAATTTGATAAGCAAAAAAAGTCGCGCAAAACTGTTGAAATTAACGCGCAAAGAGTAGAAAACAAAGAATTAATTTTAATACACAATGAGAGAAAGGTGTTTGTGTGTGTGTGCGTGTGTGAGCACAATGTTTATGTTATTTGCTTTATTTTAGTTTTAGTTGCTGCTGTTGTTGCTGTTGTTGTTGTTGTTCTATTTGCTCAGCTTTTATTTATTTTAATTTCTCTTTAAATATTTGATGTCCTGGGTTCTGCACCTTTTTGGCTTTGCCTTTGGGTTTGCCTTTGCTTTTGCCGTTTTGGTTTATTTTTATTTTTATATTTATCGTTAAATTTTTGTCGCTTGTTGTCTTCGGTGTTGCAGAGCACTGAATTCATACACTCGACTGCGCGTTCTGTGTTGTGTTTTATAAATAAATAAGTTTCACGTCTAATGGCCACCGAAATGAATTTCTAAGCCCAAGCCCAGCTGCACATAGATACACACACACACACACACACACACAGAGATTGAGAGTGAGAGTGAGAGGGGGATGGCGAGTGCGAGAGAGAGAGAGACATACGCATACACACTTGGAACGTATTACCCAACAGCCCAATATGCTGTCAGCCAGAAGTACACGCACTTTGTTGCACTGCGGCCTGCTTTAATTATGCTCTATATACAAGCACTTAGCATAGCCGCAAATAAAAATATACATATAATACACGTGTGTGTGTGCTATTCAATTTGATGAATTCCCATAATACTGTCGTATACCCTGCACCATGTGTACACTCAAGCTGATGCTGACTATGAGAGTAGACTTTCAACTGGATTTTCTTTGTGAGAGAATTATGAATGCATGGGATTAGCAAATAGATTTGAGTTAAATACATATATATCTGTCATTACTTTAGATAAGTCATTTGCAGCAAGAGCTAAAACTACTTTCTCTCTGAGACACTACTCAAATTGTGATGGATTATAGTCGGGGAAAATAACTTTTTGATTAGATATGATATCACTTTCTATTAATTCCTGAGACTATTCACCGTCTCTATATATAATATAGTTTGAAATTTATATTTAGGATTTGAATCACAGCCATTTGAGACTACAATCAGCTCATATTGAATGATAGGCATTACTTTATCTACATTATACGCAGCATGGAACAGACAGGTGTTAAGACCACTTTCCCTTTTATAAGACAATTCTGATAATTTGCTTTGAATTGTGATAAATTGGGATTATAAACTAATTTGGCAATTGATGTGATAAGAGCTGCTTTATATGTACGAATCGTAGTCCAAACACTTGAAAAGATAAGTCTCTTTGAGTCTGAAATTGTCTCTAGGATTTCTATTGGGTATCAGATGTAGCCTGATTTATAAAACATTTGCTGAGTTGACTTTTTTAAGAGCTTTATTACTTTCTCTATGATTATTATTATCATTAAATGTGTTAGGAAATAGTGAGCATTATATGGCATTATATTTAAACAGTCAAGTGTTTAGATTTAGAAATTCTAAAATTGGCATTGGAAAATCACTTTAGATTAGTTGTCGTAGTCATGGTTGAATATCGATATTATCTAAGCGTGGAGTGCGTGGCTTAAGCCGATTGAAATGGAAACTTTTTAATCAATTTTTTTTTTTTTTTTTTTTTTGTGTGAGATAAGATAGAATTTTTTGGAGATTTTGGCTTAGCTCAAGGTGACATTTAATATGAGATAATGCCTATATATAATAATATATAATTTATAGTATATACAAAAAAAATATAAACATATATGTATATTTATTTATTTTTTTAAATTTTCTAATTTTAAACCTCTTTTCTAGCATATTTGGATTGCCAGCATGACTTTCAACTTTTACAGGGTATTTCGCCTGCAGCGTGTGTCTGCTCTGCTGTTCAAGAGTTGTTCATGGTTCGTTTTTCATTTTTCGCTTGATGAATATTTTTAAATAGTTTTGGCTGGCGCATAAAATGTGTTAATTTTGCTAGACATTGTCGCTGCTCTCGCACTCGTGTTGCTGTTGTTGTTGTTGTTGTTATTGTTGTTGCCGCTGTTGGCTTAGTGTTTCTTTTGTTTTGGTGGCCGTCCAATAATTTTGATTGCTGCCAAAAATTCTTAGACATTCGGCCGCATTTTCGGCTGACAGTAAGAGGCCCTCGGCCCAATCCCGCAACACCACCCACCACCCACCACCCACCACCAAGCACCACAGCTATTGGCGAAATGTGAACAAAGTCTATCGCTACTCTAGTTACTCTACTTATGTCAAACGGGCCCTCTTGTTCTTCTGCCTGCCCTCGCTGACGCGTTTATAGCGCTAATTGATAGCGAGTGATAGGAACAATTGTCGCTGTGTTTGCGAAGCTTTTGATTTTGATTTCCTTGAGTCATAGCCAATGGTCTGCACGCCGCTTGACAACGGCTGTTGGCCCGATTCAAATTTCAGCTGGAATGGAGGCTGTGTGTGGCTATTTGGATGTGCGACAGGAGCAAGCGACTAGCATTAATCATTGTGATTAATTGAATTTCTGCTTATCTGTGGGCCCCCACCTGACCATAGTCACATCGTTGTAGATCAAGCGATAATACGCGTAATACAGCCTATACACACGTGCGCTTTAGCTCCAGCTCTCTCCCTCTCCCCCTCTCTCTCTCTCTCTTTCGCTCTCCCACTCTCTCATTGGACGGCTTAAGTTTTATGCTAAACAAACAACAATCAATAAAAGCAATTAATTTGTTGCAATAAATGGCAAACGCCCACGAGAGCCCAACGGAGATAATCGCAACAGATCTGGCTTGGGCCATAAACATAAACTATAACGGCCATATATGGGACACACGCCACACATGGTTCACTTATATGGCCAGAATGATAAAAACAACAACAGCTACAAGAGTCACCAAAATCTCGATCTCTCTCGTTAAGTGATTCGTGAGCTGTTCAGGGATTCTCTCTGCCCTGCAACAAGTTCTGCTGCTGCACTAATTGCTCGTGTTTGCAAGTGTCTTTTGAGAGTCGTTCATTGGCTTCGCTTTCACACACACACACACACACACTCGTTACATTTCCAGGGCTGTGCACTTTGATTTGGTTTTCAAGCACCTTTTGCACTCAACACGCGACACAAAAAAAAAAAAAAAAACAAAACAAAAACACAAAAAAAAAAAAATATATATATACCATATAGTAGTCGAACGGCGGCTAGAAATGGTAAAACACTCGACTTTAGACACGAGCGCGTTGTTGTTGTTGTTGTCGGTTGTTGTTATGTGTTTGATGTTGGTTGTTGCTTGCAGCAGTTGCTGCTGTTGGTTGCACGTGCTGCTGCTGCTGCTGCTGTTGTTTCTACTACTATTGTTGCTGCTACTGCTGCTGCTGCTGCTAGTTAGCTGCTGCTGCTACTGCCGGCGGCTCTGCTATTTGGGCTCGCTTTAGTCGCTGCTGCTAAACCTTCACGCTAGACGTTTGCTACGCAACTGACAAGCGGCAGCGGTTCGTCTCTTCCGACGAGCCACAAACGACGCGCCGCTCGGCTGGGCGCTTCGGCTCGCCAAACGTTCGCTTTCAACATGTTGCGAGCGTCGCGCACCGAACCAGCGGGCGGGCCATGAGTGAAAGTGCAGCAGCTGCTGCAGCTCCTCCAGCTTTTTCCTTTTTTCTTTTTTGGCTTTGGCTGTTCAGCTTTAGCAGCTCCAAAAAAAACAAAAACATAAACAAAAAAAACAAAAAAATACAAAAAAACAAATAGAAAATCAAGCAGAAAGAAGAATCCTTGTAAGTGGAAAACGATTGTGCTTGATAGACTTTATATATGCCCTGTGTTTAGTAAGAGCTCATTGAAGTGCCTGATGGTTCATAGGACGTTTCTTAAGAGCCTTCGATTTATCGATATTTATCGATTTGGTAAAGTGCAGCAGCTTTTTTTGGCTTTTCCACTTTTGCAGCCTGACAGCTTAAAGAAAAAGAGGAAGAAGAACAGAAAGCAAAATCCTTGCAACTAGGCAATCATTATGTTTGATGGACTTAGAGATACCCTGTCTTCATATTCACATATCTATGCGCTTGCCCACCAATCGACTTGTAAAGAATCGATTAAAACCGATGGGCCAACATTTATCGATTCGTTAAAAGTCAACACATTAGTCGTTTACTGCTTGTCTACTACATTTGAAACTCCTCTTGGCTTATGTTTACAGGGTATATAAACGATTTTTTCCTTCGTTAGGCTGGCGCACGAAATTGGTAGGCAACGGCGAAAAGGCCAAACAAAGCGGGCAAAAGCAATAAGAGCAAATAAATAAACTGCAGCTGCAGCACCACCAGCTGCAGGAGCAGCAGCAGCACCTGTGTAACCGTTAGCAACATGCTGCACAGTGGTGCAAATGAAAAATATTTGAAATAATTGAAGAAAGGATTTCAAACTTAAAATGCCCCGCTAGTCGAGCATTGCGTAATCCATCTATGCAATAATTAAAAGAAATAATTATATAATTGATATATTTGTTACAGATGGAGAAATGTTAGCTTGGCCTGGCCACTGTCAACTCGATGGGCGTGGCAGTGGGCAGCAATTGTTGAGGTAACACTAGAAGGCCGCTAGAGCCGTCAAGGCTGTCTTTGACATCGAATGCCAGCCTGCAAGTCTTGGCTTTTACTATTCCAGTAAATATTTGAGGCATGCGGCTTGAAGCTCTCACAGATAGTTTGTTTGTCTTAATTGCTGTGGACATCAGATATTTATATATATATATATATATATATATATATATATATATATGTATGTGTTTATGTACATATATGAATTGAAAAAAAAGAATTCTCAGAAATCCAAATGCTTTTTATTGTGCGCATATTCTCAGAAATTGATAAATGCTTTTCAGATAGATCAAAAGCTGCTGCTTATGAAACAAATCATTGAGACAAGCTGCCGCAAATGAAAACAAAATTTGTGGCCAGCTTCTTTTCAGAGTACGGAAACGGATTTTGACGGCCGTCCGGGTGAAGCAAACATGTTGCCAAGTGTATTACTAGCCAACATGTTGGCTGCCTCTGGCGGCATTAATGATGTGACTGTGGCCAACACCACAAACACCAGCATCAGCCGGCTGTGATGGCTGCGCTGCCAAATCCCAGTCGCCGTTGGACAACAATGACCAATGGATGAGATGATGATTCCGGCTGTGCGGATGTGCGGCTGCGCTGCATGGGCGTTTGTGCAACGCGGCGTATGATTAACAAACTAAACAGGCATTTATCAGCGACTGCAATTGACGACTCCCTGCGGACCAGTCGAATCCAATTAAACACAAAATAAATCCTGTAGCTACTTAGCTAGTTTCAGTTCATATTTCACACGCACTCTGCGCCTCCCTTCCTCCCTCCTTCTCTCTTTCTATCACTCTTTTTGTTCAGTTTTGGCACGGGCGCTGCTCTAAAATGCATAGTTGAAATGCAACTGCAAGTGCAAACAGAAGCCGATTACCTAATTAAACAAACAACAAACAAACCATGGGCAACAAATGTTACACTTGTGAGTTTTCATTGCGGCGGCAACAGGGCACAGGTTAACCTTGGACTGAGCTCGCCCCCAACTGCATTTGGCGAGGCAGCGAGAGGCAGAGTGGCGGAGAGAGGGAGAGTGAAGAGAGAATAGAGAGAGAGAAGCAGTGGCACTGCTAGTAGAACCAATCAACTAGCTAATCTTTAGCTCAATGTACATATCATCGATTCAGCTCCTGAGCTCCTTAACAGGGAGAACATTTTTATAAACACAATTTCACAATTTTATGCAAAACTTCTTCACAAGCATGCAGCTTTTCTCTAATACTTTATCAATTCTTTATCAACAAGCTTAAAACTATGTACACATGATAATCAAATGCTTAAATTTAATAAAAGTTTAAAATAATCGGCATTCTGTATTTATGTAATAAGACTAACCAACCGCGCTCTCAGTTACGAGCTTCAAGTCAAGCTCAATAATTAGTAAAGCACAGCTGATATATTTAGATATATCCATATATTTAAATGTGTAATCAAAGTGCTTAATATCTAATGGCCAGTAATTTGAAAAGGGAAATATATGGAAAGCTATATATATATATATATATATATATATATATATTACACATCTATACATATGTCAAGATACATGATAAACTTTCTCGAGGCAGTAAGGCATCATGGTTATGCAATCTTTACAGGATGGCAGCACCCAGCAAGAGTTTCAGAACCACGTTGAAAAGGCAAGATGTAAACGCTGCTGTTTAAATGTCGACGCTACTATTTAAAGTTGCCATAAGTTGCTTGAGTGTAACTCAATCATTAATTTTTCAATACTCAATTGCTTCAAACTCACACATTATACACACAACAATAGTTACACATATATTACATGGATGCTAAATCTCCATCAGTTATTTAACATTCGCAACATCTGTTGCAATCCTATTCACTCATTTCATCTTTTTTTTTTTTTTTGAGGTGGTGCAGCTTCTGCTTCGATATATTCTTTTGCTTCCCAGTCGCACCGCCCACACATGGCGCTTTAGGTAGAAGAAAAACTCACAGTGGACCTGCTCTGGAGAATACGCTGGCTGCTGCATCATTAGCGTTTTGTGTTGGTCAGAAATTCGCGCACGATGTGTGAGCCGGGGAATAGACAAAAATCGAAGAGGAGTCCAAAGAGGAAAAAATCCAGGCCAAGCGGCTTTTACAGCTCGATTGAGCACTCAAAAGGGCTGAACTTGTTGGACAAATGTAGATGTGCGACACGAGTGGCAACATAATGCCACAAAAGATTAGACAATCAAAAGTCCAAAATGGAGTAAAATGGAGGAAATTGAACAGTCGCAGGATATGTGTAAGATGTGGCTATAGCAATGGCTATATGAATACGAAACTATATTAATGATATGATAATGAATGTAAAAGTATTTATGGTCTTTACTTCTTGTTTAAAAAAATGCCATAAAATGGAATTTAGTTTACCTTAAATAGTATATTTTATATATAGAAAAGATGTAAAGTATGTTGACATGAGAATAAATCGAATGACTGTTATCGATATATAACTTAGTCTCGATTACACAATTTTATAATATATCTTTCTGACTGGTATATATTTGATGTATATTCATAATATTTTATATGTATTTTATAAATAATAACAAAGCACTCATTGTTTTCGCAAAGAGCATTTATCGATTATTGCATGCTTAATCAAAGTGAATACATTGTCTAAAACGCTGCACAGTCTGAGAGACAAAGTAATTATATTAGGCCACAAAATGTTGATTTTCCCGCTAGCAGTTCAGACTAGAATATCTAAGAGCTAAATTAGTTAAGTTGCAGACAGTGCAGGGGCAGGCTGGCCAACGCCAGTTGCTCTATGCAGTTATCGATGGAGCAACGCACTAGTTAGACATGCATGAGTCTAGTGCAACCGCCGCATGCCGGCGTGGATTGACAGCAAATTGATTGAACATGCTGCCAGCTACCCTTTGGCTGAACGGACGGAGATCACAAATTCAACTGCAGGCACGAGTGGGACAGCGGGCTCAGCATGCTGCCGAGCTTGTTCCCCAATTAGGCCATAATGAACTTAGCGAGTCTATTAGTCGGTTCAGTCCATTCAAAATTGTTCTGTGCAGCGCGGCAGAGGCGCAAAAGCTTATCAAACTAACTTTATACTTACAGTTGAAGTGCATTAACGTGAAAGAAACTTACCTGCGAAAGAGAAGAGAAAAGAGAGAGAGGGAAAATCATGGATTACTATATGCATAGTTATGGTAAAGCAACGGCTTCAGTTTCAGCTTCAGCAAAAGCTGATGTTATTTAATTTAAAAAATATATATTGCAACGAACTCTATCAGATGTTTGGTCAACAGCGAAATAAAGTCGTTTTTATTATTCAATTTAATATCAAGAAGCGATGCAATGCGAATCCCTGACTCTATTTACCATACATACGTACGATAAACAAATACAAAGCTGAATGTATATGAGGATATATGTATATATATGAAAGTGTGGGTGTGTAAATGCAGGGCACTTTTTTTTGTTTGGCTTCCAGCTCGTAAATCCCGTCCTAGCTACAGTTAGAGCCATATATGGTTGTAAAATAACTTATACGCGCTGTGGTCAGGCCGCACCATGACATCGTGGTGAAAGCTGTGCTGCGTGAGCTTTTCAACTTGCTCTTGCATATTTGTGGCGCCATGCTGAAAGCTTATGAAAGCTGATGTGAACAGCTCGGGAGCTTACAAAGCTTTCCCCTTTCAACTAATTATAGAATATTTAGATTTCTACTAAAGCTGTAAATATGCAAAGTTTTACAAAAAGCTTTCTATTGGTCCAAGTAAAAAGTTCTTGAACTTTACGTATATTTTATTGAATTTTAAATTTGTTGACATTTTTATTGACAACAGAAAGCTTAGTCCAATAAAAGCTTTGAGAACGCGGGTATTCAAAAAATTCTTTGTGGTAAGTACCTTAAAAATTTAAATATGATATTAACTAATTATCATTATTATTTTAATTGGTAACTATTAAAAATATGTTGGGCTTCCTGTTAAGATCGAAGACAAGATATTTCTTAACTATAAGAAGCAGTAATTGAGTATTACATACATATAATAATAATGTATAATAATATATTGGAGCTATCATCCAGCATTTTATAAATTCAGATATCAGAGAAGGACTTGAAGGAATGATGTCAATATTCTGTGATTCTCGCTTATGGTAAATATGTTTTAACTTTAATTGCTTATTGATTTGAACCGCTACATTCAAAGTAAAAGATTTGTTCGATGATTTATATCTGCTATAGCTTTAGAAGTTACAGCTCCCAGCTCCAGATGGTTATTAGTTCTGCTCAGGAATTCCTACTAAATCCTGACCTAGCAGTTCCATTATTCATATTTCATTCAATATTTCAGAGTCATTTCACTTAATAAAACAGTTTAAAAACTTAAAAAAAAAATAAGATAAAAAAATAAAAAATAAATCATTCATGCATATGAATGCGCGTAATAAATTTAACAGAAATATCCTGACTTAATTGATTAATTAATCTTCGCTCCCTATCATTCACTCACTCAATATCTCTCTCTCTCTGCCTCTGTTGCCTCTCTGCCACTCTCCCTGCTTTGATGTTGTTTGTTTAATTAATATTACTCACTTAAAGCATTTCACTTATTTAATTGTATGTCTTCTTCTTATTGAGTTGTTGTTGCTGCCAGTGGGCTCAGAAAATGTTTTTCCTGTGCGCTTTTATTGATTAAATGCAAGAGTTATTTTCGCCCCTTTTGAAGGCGCTGCTATAAATAAGAGGCAAATTCTCTCGGATTATGGCACGACTTGTCCAGCACCACGCACGCACACACACACACACACACACACACACACACACACACACACACACACACACACACACACACACACACACACACACACACATACACTGACACACACACGCCCACATTTACTAAAGTTCAATGACTAGCAATAACGAAGCGTCATTCAAGCGTGAATTATTGTCAAGGACCCCAAATGGGCTGAGGAAAACGCTGTCAGGATGATTGCCGCAGAGATGTTATGGCTATGCCTGGTGGCAGCAGGGAGTTTCGGATAGCCGGCAGGCCGGCAGCGCAGCTTAGCGGAAATGTGACAAAAGTGCTTCAGCAAAGGGTTCGACTTAGGTGGTTGAATGCCAGGACGGCAACTGGCAACCAACCAATGCCAGCTACTGCGTGCGACCCACTGCGTGGAGAGCAACAGTTGATTGCCATCAATGGGAATTATGTAAATCAAATTGTCCACGCATTACTTAGAGTGCATATTGTCGGGGCGACGTCTCCAATTGGGTGTGAAAATTGATTGAATTCGCTGCCGCCATATGAGCAGCCAGATAGTTCCACTTGCCCAAGCCGCAAAAACAAAGTATTAAGCATAAAAGCCAATGAAACAACAACTAGAACGCTTTTTCGAGGCGCCAAAAAGGAAAGCATATAAGAATGTTCTAGCTGGGCCCGTCCGACTAGAAAATACCCTGCATCCTGCAATAAACGATTATTTCAATAATTTTTCATTGATAGCTTTGCTATAGATGGTTTTACTTGTGGATCAAACGAAATTAAATGATCGATTTTGATCGATAAGAAGATGGGATGAGTTATCGAAAATGGACGGTGGACAGATAGCCAAACGGCCCGACGGACAAGTCCTTATCGCCTCACCATTTTCTACCTGTTACATTCATTTCTACAAAACCACTATATTCTGTTTTGTCAATCGAAATGGATTTAGGGTATAAAATCTTGATTATAATTGTAAGTATATTAAGGCTGAGTGCGTGTATTCTGTCCCGTGTGCTAAAATGTTTTAAGACGACACGTTAACATAGTCTTAACAGCGATATTTATCGACTATGTAGGAATATGTATTTTTGCCTTTAGGATATCGATTTAGGTACATAGTCAATCGAGATCTATTTTAAACAAAGTTAAGGATCAATTATTTTCGAAAACTCAATCTGCTGATTTTTGCAATTATTGTTTAATATTTAATTAGGTATGTATGTGTGAAAGCCTATCTGGCAATTATGAATTTCTAATAAGTGCGATTATAATATAATGAAAATAATAAAGGCAACAAAGCTATAATTAATTAAAGATTGAAATCAAAAGTTCTTTTCAGTGGGTCTTCATCAATTTCCGGAGAGTTCGCATGGTTCAACAAAGTCGCAGGCAGGGACATTTACAGTCTTTGTCATTTCTTTTTGGAATCCGACGTCGCCGAATTAGTAGAGTCCTCCTCTTGGGTCTCTGCGGTAGATTAGGAATTCTAATTTTTTGTGGCAAACGAGGGATCTTACATTTGATGGGTACTCTCTTACAATTTCGTCTACAGGGCTTCGGGCCAGGCTTTTTCGGTGGAACGGGATTCTTCTTTGGTGGATTACAAGGCTTCTTTGGTGGAACGGGATTCTTCTTTGGTGGATTACAAGGCTTCTTTGGTGGAACGGGATTCTTCTTTGGTGGATTACAAGGCTTCTTTGGTGGAACGGGATTCTTCTTTGGTGGATTACAAGGCTTCTTTGGTGGACCTGGAGGTTTCTTTGGTGGATTACAAGGCTTCTTTGGTGGACCTGGAGGTTTCTTTGGTGGATTACAAGGCTTCTTTGGTGGACCTGGAGGTTGTCTTGGTGGATTACAAGGCTTCTTTGGTGGACCTGGAGGTTTTCCTGGTGGAAGACAAGGCTTCTTTGGTGGACCTGGAGGTTTTATTGGTGGATTACAAGGCTTCTTTGGTGGACCTGGAGGTTTCTTTGGTGGATTACAAGGCTTCTTTGGTGGACCTGGAGGTTTTCTTGGTGGATTACAAGGCTTCTTTGGTGGCCCTGGAGGTTTTCTTGGTGGATTACAAGGCTTCTTTGGTGGACCTGGAGGTTTTCTTGGTGGATTACAAGGCTTCTTTGGTGGCCCTGGAGGTTTTCTTGGTGGATTACAAGGCTTCTTTGGTGGACCTGGAGGTTTTCTTGGTGGAATACAAGGCTTCTTTGGTGGACCTGGAGGTTTTCTTGGTGGATTACAAGGCTTCTTTGGTGGACCTGGAGGTTTTCTTGGTGGATTACAAGGCTTCTTTGGTGGACCTGGAGGTTTTCCTGGTGGAATGCAAGGTTTCTTGGTTGTAACGCAGGGCTTCCTAGTCGTTACGCATGGCTTTCTTGTTGTAACGCAAGGTCTTCTTGTTGTAACGCAAGATTTCCTTGTAGTAACGCAAGGTTTCTTCGTTGTCGTTGTGGAACGCTTCGTTGTTGTTGTGGGTCGCTTCGTTGTCGTTGTGGGTCGCTTCGTTGTCGTTGTGGAACGCTTCGTTGTCGTTGTGGGACGCTTCGTTGTCGTTGTGGGTCGCTTCGTTGTTGTTGTGGGACAAGTCGTTGTTGTAGTGGGACAAGTCGTTGTTGTTGTGGGTCGCTTCGTTGTCGTTGTGGGTCGCTTCCTTGTTGTAGTGGGACAAGTCGTTGTTGTAGTGGGACAAGTCGTTGTTGTTGTGGGTCGCTTCGTTGTTGTTGTGGGACAAGTCGTTGTTGTTGTGGGACAAGTCGTTGTTGTTGTGGGACACGTCGTTGTCGTTGTGGGACACGTTGTCGTCGTTATGGGACACGTCGGTGTCGTTGTGGGACACGTTCTTGTTGTTGTGGGACACGTCGGTGTCGTTGTGGGACATGTTCTTGTTGTTGTGGGACACGTTCTTGTTGTTGTGGGACACGTTGGTGTCGTTGTGGGACATGTTCTTGTTGTTGTGGGACACGTCGGTGTCGTTGTGGGACACTCCACTTTTGTCGACATGCACCAGCATTTATCTTCGCCACTACTTGGCCCAAGGACCAAAAGTAGAGCTGTCAAGCCCAATAGCCAGGAGATACGCATTGCAGAACTGCTAAGGTAACTCTTGCTCGTGTTTGGCAGATGCAACTGTTATATAGCAGATAAACGCAGGGGAGCTGCCAATTGGGGCATTTCGAGTTTGGGAGTATGTTCGCGCAACTATAGATAGATGAGCGGTCCGTTCCACATTTCGATCAGTCGGCGAAGGGTATTTTGGGTTTGCTACGGTAGACCTAAAGGGTATAATGCCCATTTGTTGCCTTTCCAGGCAGTGACCCGTCCATAGTCTGTTTCCATTTTTAGATCTCAGTATTTTCGGTAGTTTACTTAATGGCATATGGTGATAAGGTTGTAAACAATGCAATTACAGTATGTCAGCGTCCGCAAATGATTCGAATAACAATTTATTTTATAAAATTGGTTAACAAGCCTCAGCTGCTACAGCTACAATTATAATTGGTCAATATACGATGTGCAAAGCAGGCCAATGATTGACAGAAAGTAAGCTAATTTTGTACATCAGAAACCAACTGAAGAAGGTCTTGGAAGACAAACGAACTTTCTCTAGTTTCGACCACGATCGAAACAGCGTAATCTCATTTATTTCTTATTTTTTATTTATTTGATTTTTTTTTTGTTGGTTTGTAGTGTCATTCAAACAGAATTATTTGTATTACAACATAAATTATCGAGTGATGGAGGTTATCCGAAGCTAATCTCAAAAACAATTGTTCTATCGACTTTTTTCAATATCACAAGTTGAGTAAATATAGGCTCCATGGTTTCAAATATAGATGACTATATAAGTAGCTAACGGCTTATGTAATCTCAACAATATGAGTTTAGCATTCAGTATGAAGTGCCACTGGCTGTTCTTGCTCCTGGGCCTCTGCCTAGTGGCGTCTTTTGCGTCCGCACAGACCGACAATAGCGTCGAGGACTTGGATACCGGTGGAGACATGGACAGTGACACCGCTCCCGATGCAGATGTTGATGGGACGGACACCGATAACGAAGTGGATAAGATCAAAGATACCAAAAATGATAGGAACGCCAAGCCAAGCCCCGTTCTCAGCCCCGATTTAGGTGCCGACTTAGGCACCGACAGCGATTCTGACATTGAGGCATTGATAGCCATGGAAACGGATCCACTGAATATCCCAACTCCCTTGCGCTGGAAACCCAATCGCAGGCCCAACAGGCGCAGACAAAACGGCCAAAGGCGCCGGAATAGGCGCAATCCAAACAGGCGCAATTCAAACAGGCGCAATTCAAACAGGCTCAACAGGCGAAATAACAACAGGCGAAGGAATATGAGACGTAGCAATTTCAGACGCCGTTTCAACAAGAATGGGCGTTCCCGACTAAGGTATAGAAATCGCGGTTAAGTTGCGCAAACACTCCAAGTGCTGGATTATACGTCATGATCAAGTCCTCGTGCATTGTTATTAACTATTTCGATTATTTGATAAATAAAAACATTTCAACCAAATTTAATAAGCACAATGTATTTGCTATTAACATAGGCATGTTCCAAGAGAGCTACTGTAGAAATCTACATAGCCTATGTAACAATATTGTCCAATTTATGTTCCATAATTCATGATTTTATTGATCGATCACAATATTAATAAGCGCCGAGTTTGTAGATCAGCAACCCAGAATATGGTATATATAGTTTTTTTTTTCTGGAAACTACGCATAGACGATCTCTATTGCTCTATAAGCAATAGAGACAGAGTCAGAGACCTGTCAAATGTTGTCTAATGTAAAGATGTGTTTATAGAGATGCATACATATCTCATAAATACTTCTCGAAATTCGATTTGTGCATTTCTAAGCTCCACATTTTTGTTTATTGCGTCGCCAAGTTGACACAGCTTGGTAAAAATTATATGGGTGGGAACTATAGGGAATTTGTACATCTGTTTCTAATTAGTTTAAACACTTAAGAGTTATATCTGCGCAGTTTGATGTGAGCAGAAATAATTTTTAATCTAACCTCGAACTAGTCAATTGGTACTGCCCTCATGAAATTATTATTATTATATAAATGATTCTAGATAATAGAATTATTTTAATTTATTTATTATTTCACATTATTTAGGCTTATGCTGTGGTATAAGTTTCTTTATTTTATTATTAGATAAAGTATTTACAGATTTTCTTAACTTAATTTAAATGGAGTTAGTAGCTATGGAAGACATAGAGCACAGAATATAGGAAGAAAGAGTTATATGAATGGAACTATTTTATATTATGTTTAAGGAGAAGATAATTTAAAAGCCTAATAGCTGCGTAATGAGTATATGGGATAGAAATATTGAATTTGTCTCTCTCTTTTTTGGCACATGTATCAATTCGCACAGCTGGTAGAGCCATACACTTGTATGTACTTAAATTATGGATTTGAAAGACCATTGTTATGTCCCAAGTTGAGTAAATAGAGGTTCTTCGATTTGACAAATTCAAATTGAAATTCAAATTTTTGTTGACTATAAAAGACACTGGTAGCTATTGCCAATTTATCAAATTGAATTTGACATTCTAAAGCGAAAGAGATAATGAAGTTCAATACGCGTTTCCTTCTCCTGGCCTGTCTCTGCCTGTGGGTCTCCCTGGCGGCAGCACAGGACGACTATGTAGACGACTATGTAGACTACTATGCAGACGATTATGTTGAGGACACGAATGCAGACGGCGCCGTGGACAACCCTGATGACGGATCCGACGGCACCGAAGTGGTCGACGACTCTGGCAACGATGATGAAGCAGACGTTGATGAGGAAGTGCCCGCCCCAGCTCCTGGCGTGGTAACACCCAGCCGTAAGCCCCGCACTCGCAATCCCAACAAGCGTCGCCCAAATGGTAACGGACGCAACAATGGCAACAAGCGTAACGTCAATGGCAACAAGCGAAACAAAAACAACAACAAGCGGAAAAACAATAAAAAGCACAACAACAAAAACAACAAGAATAACAACAACAATAACAACAAGCGCAATAAGCGAAATCCGAAAGCCGCCAGAGGTTAAATGTAACAAAAATCCTAAAAATGCTGATAATGATTTGGAATTCTAATTAATGATGTATCATCTACTCTTTTTTTTTGCTACTATAAACTACCCTGAATAAAAGCGTTGATTGAAGAACCATAACTAAAACTTTATATTCATCTCCAATTATCACAGTTTCTTAGCTGCCAAACTAATTTATCAGCATCAGTATCAGAAGATCAGCAACAATGTGACTAAGGGCTAGTTCAGACTGTGAGAAAATATGGCCCTCGGCTGTAGTTAATAATTGGGATAGCAATGGCTGATCAACAGAGTAAACCCAATTGGGGAATCGCAACAAATTACGAACTGCCCCTGATAACAAAGCATTGACTGATATGTCGATGCAGTAATATACGGATTTGACATGGCAGCCTGCTCGGAAGATGCTTACTCTCCGAGAGGGATTGAACAGATTAGGATTTGTCAACCAAAACCAAAATGAAAAACTTTTGGCTTTATACTTTCATTATTTGTAGGATGTTCTGATTGTGGGTGGATAAGAAATACAAATAAAATAATAATAATTTAAATCAAATAAAATACTTAAATAAAAATAAATATATATATTTAAAAAAAAAATAATAATAATAATAAAACATCTATCGAACAAGAAATTGAAAAATAAAAAATTTAAATAAAACAAATCGAAACTATATTTATTTATTATTTTTGAAATTAAAAATAAATTTTAAAATTAAAATTAAAAAAAAAAAATTTAAATAAGCTTATAATAAGAAATGAATTTCTGTGGACATTGTCAGACTCAGTGTTTTTAAAATTTGTAAGTATTTGTCAAACACAACAAGTGCAAAATTCATATAATATTACTAGGTAAGGCAATGGAAGATATCGAGCACAGAATATGGAAGGAAAGTGTTATATGGATGGAACTATTACAAATTGACTTTAACGAGGGGATCAATTAATAGCATTTAAGTGAAGATTCGATCTAGTAAATCTGAAGGATATTGGCATCGTATTATTCTTCTGGTTTCAGATCTTTAGGCGACATTAGCAAGACGCTTCACCAATTTGTATGGGTGCGAATCTAATTTCCCGCTCTTGCCTGACTACTCTGGTATCTCGTGTTTTTATACCCTGAACCCATTGAAAATGGGAAATCAGGGTATAATGGTCTTGTGAAAAAGTATGTAACGGGCAGAAGGAGGCGTGGCAGACCCCACAAAGTATATATATTCTTGATCAGCGCGACAAGCTGAGTCGATATAGCCCTGTCCGTCTGTCCGTCTGTCCGTCCGTCCGTCCGTCCGTCCGTCCGTATGAGTGCGTCGATCTCAGAAGTTACAAAAGCTAGAGAGCTGAAATTTGGCATGCATACTCGTGTGTACCATACGCAGTACGAATTTGCTTTATTTTTTCGATAAATCGTCCGATAACTTTTTTATCGAGAATAATCGAAAAATGGATTTTGTTTTTTTACCCTAATTTAAACACTTTTAGACCTGGAGCCTTCAAATTTGCGTTGTATATAAAGTTAATCGATATAAAGATTTTGTAATTTACAGATTTTGGATACCACGCCCCCTTTTCCCCCAATTTGTAAAAAACGCATTTCAAGTACTAGAGACTTGTGCTTTGGAATGTACACACATATTCACCATATGATTACATTTTAAAAGTTTCATTAAGATCGTATGTCTACAAAAGAAATTATTCAACAAATAAATTCTCATAATATTGCCCACACTGCAGCGCAGCCCAAGCGCAGTCGCTGCTTACTGCGCAGTTAGCAGAGCGCAGGCTTATGCATGCGTGTGGATGCATGTGTATGTATGTGTGCATAAAATAAGTCCAGAATGATTAGAATATCAGCTTGGAGGGTTCAGGGTATCTCCTAGTCGAGCAGTCTCGACTGGAGCCTTCTTACTTGTTGATACGTGAGTTACTAGAACAATCAGGCAAGAACTCAAGAAACACGTTGAAAAAGCTACAGAAGGCCAAGTGATATTTTAATTTATTATCTTTGAATAAACATCGCGAAGTTTATGCAATTTGCCATGAGTGAGTGTATCAGCTAACGCAATCATTACATAATGACGCATGATTAATATTTTATTTTAAGATAGACAATTGCTTAGACAGACAGATGTTATTTCCTGCTATTTAGCTGCGTAACAAGTATATGGGGTAGAAATATTGACTTAAGCTCCAGAAAGATTGTCAACACTTCCAAAGCAAATATGAATGTGACTATATTCATCTTTTGATAAATTTTCTGTTTTAATTCTATTATGTTTTTGTCATTCTCTTTTTTTGGCACATGAATCAATTCGCACAGCTGGTAGAGCCATACAATTGTATAATTACTTGTATTTTGGATTTGAAAGACCATTGTTATGTCCCAAGTTGAGTAAATAGAGGTTCTACGATTTGACAAATTCAAATTGAAATTTAAATTTTTGCTGACTATAAAAGACACTGGTAGCTATTGCAAATTTATCAAATTGAATTTGACATTCTAAAGCGAAAGAGAAAATGAAGTTCAATACGCGTTTCCTTCTCCTGGCCTGTCTCTGCCTGTGGGTCTCCCTGGCGGCAGCACAGGACGACTATGTAGACGACTATGTTGAGGACACGAATGCCGTGGAAGAGACTGATACAGACGTGCCTGCCGATACTGAAGACGGCGCCGTGGACAACCCTGATGGCGGATCCGACGGCACCGAAGTGGTCAACGACTCTGGCAACGATGATGAAGCAGACGTTGATGAGGAAGTGCCCGCCCCAGCTCCTGTCGTGGTCAGACCCAGCCGTAGGCCCCGCACTCGCAATCCCAACAGGCGTCGCCCAAATGGTAACAGACGCAACAATGGCAACAGGCGTAACGTCAATGGCAACAGGCGTAATAACAACAACAACAACAGGCGCAACAGGCGAAACCCAAGATTCGCAAGATTTGCGAGAGGTTAAAACTCATTAAAAAAAATCCAAAATCATATTGGAATTCTAATTAATGATGACCTCTCATCTTTTTTTTTTCCTACTATAAACTACCCTGAATAAAAGCATTGATTGAAAAACCATAACTAAGAGTTGAGATTCATTTCCAGTTGTCGAAGTTTATTTGCAGCAGGGCAATTTTATCTGACTTATGGGTAACTTAGGATCTGTGGAAATATTTCCCTCGGCTGTAGTCGATACTTGGAATCTAGATCTAGGCTGTGCAGAATTGTGGTATAGCTGATGGAAGTAAAAATCTGTAAGGAATCTCATCAAATTACGAACGGCTCCTGATAGTTTCACCTTTGATCGAAGTAAATTAGAAGGGAGATTAATAGATAGTATTCTTGCAAGATTCTTACTATCTGTAAGTATTCACAGATTGGGGCTTGCCAATCATAAATACCCCTAACAATATAGGATTATTTGTAAGTACTTCTAGATATAGAAGGTTTGGCTTTACGTAGATAAA